AGAGTCTAATGGTGTAATAGATTTCAGCTGTGAGAGAGTTGGGGTTTTTATCCTAGTTTTGCCACTTGCTATTTGTGTGGCCTTGTGGAGCTGTTTTGCTAGCAAATATTTGTTAAAAGCCTCCTGTAGACCAGCTACCACGTGCACATTCCTGTACATCTCAGGTGCCCTCAGAATAGCCCATGATGAAGATGCCTGGGCAGTAAACTAGGATTCAAGAGCCATCTGCCCAAGGCCGCCCAGCAAGTAAAAGGCAGATCTGGGATTTGCGCTCGGATGTTTTGACTCCACATATAATTTATTTTTCCCATAACTGTCCTCTTTTGACTTCAATCCTGCATCTGTAAAGTATGAAGAATAAAAACACTGTCTTTGTAGATCCTTTTACAGTTTGCAAAATATCTTTCACAGACAGTGGTCTCCTTTGGGTCTTGCAACACCCTGGTGAAGCTGAATGAGCCGTCATCACTGCCCTCATGTCACAGATGGAAACCTGACACGAGGGACCTGGACCTCCTCATTACATGCCACATAACCCAGGGCACGGCATCTGACCTCCCTTAGCGTCAGTGTCCCCATCTTCGAGCTAGATGCTCAGAGAACACCCATTCCAAGCGCCACCACTGCTTATAAGCAGGGGAAAATAATGTGGCTTCAACAAAGTAGAAGTGTGTGGTTCTCCTGCAGAGAAGCCTGATGGGCAGTCCGAAGCTAGCGTGGCACCTCTACCAAGTCACCAGCGACCAGGTGCCTTCCAGTTCCCCGGCCCCTGGGGCAAGACCCTCATCCTCAGGGCCAAGCTGGTACTTAGCCATCTCCTCCATATTCTAGACAACAGAGTATTCCAGGGGAAGGTCGTGCTCCTCCTGGTTGAGGAGACTACCCAGAAGCTCCGCAGAGCACTTCTGCTCATAGTTTGTTGACTAGGACCTACTCGCATGGCCATGTCTAGCCACAAGGGAGGCTGGGATATGTAGCCTTTTAAATGGGCAGCAATATGCCCACTAAAAATTGGGCATAGTCCCTAGGAAGGAAGAGGAGGGTGCATGTTGGGTAGAGAATTACCAGTTAATAGCCAATTACCTTGGTGTCTGCAGCAGCAAGTTTCCTTCGAACCCCTGTGGTTCTGGGATTTGCCAGGGCTCCCTGCCAGTCTCCAGGGCATCTGCATGATTAGAGTCCCTGGCTCAGAGCCTGAAGGGCAGGGCTGCTTCTGGGCATCAGCAGTATGAACTCACTGGAGCTGCAGGCCTGAGCCAGGTTCAAGCTTGAAGAGCCAGTGTTCTATGGAGGTCTGCCTGTCT